CTGATGGCCTCGTCTCCTTGCAACGCAAGAAGCCGAGAGGCGAGAGCTCACCCCAGCAGGCAGCAGGCAGCAGCGACCGAGCGACGTAGCGTCTGTAGCGACGAGCGATCGGCCAGCGCCGTGATCGAGGCAAGTAGGCGACGGAAACGGGAGTCAAATCGCTTCGCTTTTCCTTCGCTCCTCTTCGTTTCGTCTTCCGTCTTCGATAGGAAAGGATCCCAGGCCTGGGAAGTAGCGATGCATATGGGGCACCGTGGGCCATGGCCCATTAGCCATGGGGGCCCTGGATTTTAGGGGCCTCGGGCCTGCGCACGGGCTGAACCCCCCCCCCCCCCCCCCCCCCGGGGCCAGGCCTGCTAAGCAAGTAAGCAGGCACGCAAGATGAAACGGTTAGAGCCTTGGACAAAGAAGTCTAGGTTAACTGATGAATTGGGTTATTGGATGGGCCAGCTCATGCTCTATGGAACAGATAGATTGGTTGAGCAGGCCTGATAATTTTGGATTACCCACAAAACAACCGATCGGATAATCCAATAAAAATATCAGATAATCCACATCCGTCAGATTTTAGGGATTGTACGATTCCTGTTTGGCATAGCTCTACGGGTCTAAGATTTTTTTTTTAGTTGGATATTTCAAACTTCACAATTATGTGGATCTAGATCTATGTTTACGTTGATAATATTTAGATAAATCATTTTGTTCCTATTTTAAATGAATTATAAAATTTTAAGTGATTATAATATAAGAAAACATATAAAGTTTATATGGATGATTTAGAGTTGTGAGTCGTCACACCATGAAGTTCTTCTCCCAAGCCTAAATTAATTAATAAATGGCCTCAAGAAATTATCTGTGTAATGGCAAGAGAGAAACCCTAATTTAATAAATGCAAATAATAATCGGAAATGGCATGTGGAATTTTTCTTGGGTTTTATATGTCAAAATATGCCAACAGAAATTTAGTGGAATTTTCAGAGCTCTAGAAATAATTTTAACTAAATAAAAATGAGCACAAGCAATTATTAAATCCCTGGAAATCCCTTTTTCTTTCCTTTTTCTTTTCCCCCCTTTTTCCTTCAAATGGGCCGTCGGACCATTCTCCCCTCCCCTCCCCGCCCGCTAGCTAGGCCGGCCCGAGGCCGAGGCCCAGCAAGCGGCCGCGCCGTGCCCCTCATCCCTCCGGGACACCGACAGGTGGGGCCCACCTATCGGGCCCGTCCCCTACCTCCGGCCGGCGCCGTCCGCGCCCGCAACCGCCACCGCTCGCCTCTCGCGCGTCTCTCGGGCCACGTCGCCCACTCCCCGCACTCGCCCCGCACGTCCCGCAACCGTCGCCCCCTCTACCGCCCGCGTGCCCGCACCGAGATGGCCGGGATTCAATTTTTGAATCCCGCCTCTCTCTCTCTCTCTCCTCCCCACCTCCCCCACGTCACTAGCCGATTCGTGCCCCTCCCAGCCACGTCTCACCCCCTCGCGCCTATATAAAGCACCCCCGTCCCCTCCTCCACCTTTTTCTCATTCTCGCCGAGCTCTCCCGTGCAATCCACCGTCCTAGCGCCGCGCACCACCCGCCGCCATCGATTTAGCCACCTCTGGCCGCTGCTCGTCGCTGTTAGAGCCGCCGCCGAGCCTTCCTGTTGCCGCCATCGGATTCGCAAGCCCGCGGTCCACACCGTCCACCCCTTCCCCGTCAAAATCCGCCACCGAGAGCCGTCCTCCGTCGCGCACCGATGAGCCCCTCCACGGCCGCAGCCTTCGGCCGGCGTTCCTGCCTCTTTTCGCGCCCTCTCGCCCTCTCTAATTTGCCCCTTTTCGTTCCCAAGGTCTCCCCAGAGCTCGTCTCGCTGTCGCCGTCGCTTTCCGCCGCTCGCAGTCAACGATCGTCGTCGGTGAGGCCCCTCCCCCTTTTCCCCTCTCTCTCCCACCCACCTAGCGCTGCTGCTTAGCCGCCTAGCCGCGCCGCCGCCGCTCGCCGCTGGTTGCCGCCACGCGCCGCCGCCGCGCACCAGGGCCACCGGGCCGGCTTAAGCTGCCCACGCGTGTACGGCCGCGCGCCGCCTCCGCCGTCCGATCTACTACCCTCGGGTAGATCGGGGCCGTCTGTTGCCGCCCGCGTGGCAGCCCACGTGGCCGCCACGTCGGCGCCACATGGCGCTCCCCTCTCCGGGTCCCCCTGGACTCGGTCCACCGTGGACCGGCGTCCCCGAGCAGATGACATGTGGGGCCCGCATGTCGGCACCGCCCCCCTTTGCTGACATCCCCAGGGTTAATTATTGCGCAATAAATCAATTAAGGTTTTTCTTTTTATAGTAAAAGCACAGTGAATCTTCTAAAATTCATCCGTGCTCCGTTTAAGCCCATTCAAGTCTCGGTAAATCAAGAAAAATGCAAAGAATCCATTAAAAATGGTTTTGTTCTCTGTTTCAGTAGTCTTATAGCCTGTTTGCATTGTTTGCCTTGTATGTCGCATAGATTCCGGCTCTCCCGATGCTCCGGTGTACTTCAAGATAGTCGCCGAAGTTTCTCCAATCGTAGAGCAAGGCAAGTCATGCTTGTCACTTGAACATATTGATCCCATATTGCAAATGCTCTATTGTTTTCCTTTAAATATTGCATCGTTTTATAATGTTACTATTTGTTATCCTGTTCCCAAGCGCTAGCTTGGGTTGTAACATGACTAGATGTTGGATTAGGGATTGCTTAGCCATGCTTAGTTCAACTAGTACACAATGGAGGAATCACATTAATGCATAGACTTCAGATTCTAGTATTGATGTTGGATTAGTGCCACCGCTTTGGTGTTGGTTAATTAAAATATATTAAATGGTGGGCTGTGGGTGCATGGTTTTGATGGTCGCTGCAAGGTGGGCGTGATAGAGTTTGGATGGGCCCTGCGACGGCCTTTGCGGCTTTCGGATTCACCTAGGCACGAGAGGGGACTGCCCGCTGCCTTGCGAGGAGTGGGGGTGAAACCTGAGGTGTGGTGTGCTTGGTTAAAGGGGGTTATGCGAAGGGTCCTGTCACGGCCTCTTTCCGGTATGTCGTGGTGGCATGCCGGCGCACGGGAACATGTCGTGGGGCTGTGTATTGTGGGTACAGTTGTACATCGCTGATCAGAGTAAAAGTATTCGAATAGCCGTGCCCACGGTTATGGGCGGTCAACCAAATTCACCGTGATTAGTCTCACCCTAGTTTAGCTTAATGGAACTGATTAGTTCAGGTGGTAGTTTGGGCCTGTCTCAACGTGGTGTAGCGTTGAGCAGTGATTGGTTTAATATTGATTAATTATTACAACTGTTTTTCTGCTTTCAACTACTGTTTATAAATGCTAGCTTTATGCAAATGAACTCCTTTAGCCCTCCTTTAGTTATATCTTGCATCATACCCTCCATTCCGGTATGACTTGCTGAGTACAGTGGGTAGTACTCAATCTTGCTCTATCTCCCAACCCTCAGAGTTCGAGTATGTGTCCGATGGTGGTTTCTCCGAGGAGTAGGCTTCGTCCGTGCCGTCGAAGATGCCTGTGGAGTGGTGTTCCCGCTGCAATCCAAGTCAAGGCTTAGCTCCAGTTATCTTTTTTTTTCCGCTGCATTTATGTAAGAGTTTTATAATGTTTGTAAGACGTGGATCTGTATGTCAACTTTGTCGTTTGTGTACCATGGCCGATCCTGGACAGAGGTTTTAATGCACATTCTGCTTAAAATTCTATTCGGGAATTTCTGGGTGTGACATGAGTCCACATCCGTACCCACATCCACGTACATATCGGTCGCTTTTATATAAGGGTTAATTTGATCCATACAATTAGAAATACTACTATTTCATATAAATGTCACTACAATTCGTCTATTTGTAGCCGTGCCACTGAAATTTACAAAATTAGGACTGTGCCACTGCCGTCACGTTTTCCATCATCTCCTTCGTGCGTCCCCCTGGGCGGCGTCACTACTTTGTCTCCCCCCGCACAGGCCGGCAAGGACGACAAGGACGAGGTGGAGATGCTCAATCATGGTGGCGGCCTCGAGGTGAGCCATCCGCAGCGCGGCTAGGACGTTTCAGACAGCGCCGCAGGAGGTGGCCGTGGAGCAGACGGTGAAGGAGCAGCTACAGCGCGTGCTGGAGCGCATCACATTGCAGTCGCAGGCGCAACATGGGGACGGGGAGCTGCTTGTCCAGGTCTGGGTGCCGACATGGTGGTGGTGGGAGCGGCGGTGGGTCTAACGATGGCGGGGGACATACAACATGGGGACGGGAGGAGAAGGGCGGTGGGGAAGGGCTCGGGGGCGTCCAGGTACAGCTTGCGGTGTCCATGGTGAGGAGAAGACATGATGAGATTGGGTGGAGGAAGAAGAACTAGTGGATGTCCTGCGCATTGCAGCGGGATTTGAGAATTCTTACTGAGAAACATTATTGATCAATCTTTGTGTGTTTCCTTCTTTTACTCATTGGTTACGTGTTTTCTTTTCGACAAAATAATATGGATTACGTGTTTATCAAGTGGGCCGCTTTCGTCCGTTGGTTGCTAAGAAAGAACAATAGGCGGAGACGTCAAGGGAGAGGTTCGTTTCCTTTTTTTTTTTTTGCCAACAGCAAACTGGATACATGCGATGTTTGAAAGCCATCCGATCAATACCTGACAGTTAAAATATGTAGATGACGTGGCAAGCTGTGGTGTAAGCTTTATAACAATTATAACTTAGTGGGTATTATTAACTATATAGGAAAAAGAGATGTGCCGAGTGAGTCTCACGTGCAGACGAGGAAGAAGATGAAAAACGTGACTACAGTGACACGGTCCTAATTTTAAAAAAATTAAGTGATATAGTTACGAATAGATAAATTGTAATGGTATTTATTCGAAATATAATATTTACAATGGCATGGATCAAATTAGCACTTTATATAACCTCCTCATTTCATTTCAAATCAAACGAGATAATCTGATCCATTATCGCCCGCTCCATTCCCCATTCCCACCACGGCACCACCTGTCCCTGTCCCGCAGTCCAAAACGGCACCAAGAATATTGCTCCTACCTTTCCTGAATCTTCCTACCGTGCGTGAGCCGTCCCCAGTACCAGTACTCACCACCTACGCGGTCGCCCACCGCGCCGTCGCCGGCGCCGGTCAGCCCCTCACCGCCGCCTCCCGTTCGCCAACGACGTCGTCGCCGTCGGCCCTATCCCCCGTCAGGTACGCCCACGCAACGCCGCCCCCCCGTCTTGTATACTATTTCTCGATTTTGTTTTTCTTTTTTAATTTTATTTTAGCGAGCTCTATCCTCGCCCACAGCTCCGTCAAAGGCACGGAGAAACGAACAAACGCGAGAGAGAAAACAAGAAGAGGAGGAGGAGCCGACGCAACCGAGGCCCCAGTTCCGATTGATCTCCGGTTCCCAGATCGGCCAGGTTTGTCCTCCCCCCAATTCGCCCCCCTGAATCCTTCTCCCCCCGCCCGGTTTCGTCCTGATCGGTGCCCGTTTCGTGCTGTTCCGTGCGCGGATTAGGGTTCTTGCTAGGATCTTTGGGGGTGGGCTGGCGACCTGGTGTTGGGTGCTTGATGGGTTTGTTCGTTCGTGCGTGTGATCCGCCGTGGGAGGAAAGAGGAAGAGATTGTTCTCCTGAAGAAACCTTACCATTTCCGTTGGTGTTTTGATGAATGGATATGTTAGGATTGGTTTCTTTCTGTTATTCCCTGCAAGTTTCGTCAAGCTCAGCTTTGCGATTAGTTACTATGAGCTTATTACAATTTTTTACCTTTCTACAAGTTATTCATTACCGATTTTTGTACCTAATAATGTGGTTCAATTTGGGATTTGGAAGTATGCCTGCGATTTTGTCTGGTATTAACAATTTAGCTCTCAACAAGCAAAAGCAACCTTTTGAGGCTAGTTGCAGGCTGCAGCAGAAGCAGAGTGAATTAAGGGCATTCAAGTGTAAAGAACAGAGGGTATACTTAAAATCATTCTTATATTTTTAACAACTATTATGTCTCATGTGGTACTATAAATGGGAACTTAAATGAGATTAGTTGTTAATAAAAATTTCTGTAGGAAATATCTTTGCATTTTAGCCTGTTTTTCCTTATGTCCACTATTAAGGTTGGAATAGGTTAAACAGTGTACAGGTGCAAATCAGAACCTGAAATGCTGATAGTTACCTTCCCCGTACATTTGACTTTATGACCGGACGGTGCATTTCTTTGCTCCGAAATGCTGATGGTTGTCTTCCTCGTACTTCGTTAATACATTCCACCATTAACATGCATTCCTCATACCTTAGTAGCAACAGTTTTGTGTTTATGTGAAAATATCAAAGAGACATAATACACTAGTTTCCTGTCATGATATCTCATGGTTATTTTTTACACGTATCCATCCTATTAGAGATTTTTATATTATATCATCCTTTTGTGTGCCTACTTGATGTTTATGCCATTGTTTTGAATTAACCAGCAATGGCTTCATCTTCGGACCCATGGATGAAAGAGTACAATGAGGCATCTAGGCTTGCTGATGATATCAATTCCATGATTGCCGATAGAGGGTCTCTTCCACAATCAGGCCCGGAAATTATACGTCACACATCAGCCATTCGAAGAAAAATAACTATTCTTTGTACTAGACTGGATAGCTTGGAAGCATTGTTGTCCAAGATTCCTCCGAAGTCACTGTATGTTCTGTTGCTACTACCTTTTTCTTTATATAAAACTGAAGATAGGTGGAGTTTTTTCAATTCTGGCATATTTCCTTATGCTAAAGCCTAAATTTATTCCGAAAGCCTATATACTGGCAAATTTTGTACAAACTGTTAGCTAACCTGTTTACTTAATGTGACGTATCTTAAAATTGAATTTATCAGCTATTCTTTAAAATGGAGGATAATGATGTTTTTGCTCGTTTATAACTGATGTGTGGACTTCTGACGCCTCTGCTTCACCACCTATGGGGACCCAGACTAGATTTAAAATGAAATACTTCCTCTGTACAAAAATATATGAACTACAAAGGTAACTATATTTTGGGATGGAGGGAGTATTGTAATTGTATGATCAGGTTTTGTGTTATTTTTTCAATGACCTTAGTTGGTGTAGAACCATAAGAGCTTGTGTTGGTTGTGGAGCATGAAACCAACTATGCTAGAGATGTTATAAGATGCAATTATTTGGCATATGTTAGAATTTAAGGGCTGTGCATGTAGTTCCTGTTTGAAAAATATCCATTGCCATTATGGTAGGAAGATTGCACCTTATCTCTTACGTCAGTTGTAAGGACATGTTTTGCCTGCTTATGAGAAAGATATGGTGAACGCCACTTAGCAAGTTAATTAATGTGGTTTGCAGTATAGATATGCTGATAGAAAATGGTTTGTCATTAACTAGTTAGGATTTTTTTTTTATCGAAGTTATATTTTACTAATGCAGGAACCTGCACATTTTAACACTGACACATAGTTTTATATTTATATGGCATGGCAGTATGGTGTAATGGTTATTGGAATTTATACCTGCCAAAAGTTCTCAATTCCTTTACTTTTGAATTCATGCAGCAGTGACAAGGAGTTACACAAGCGCCAAGACACGCTTTCCAATTTGAAATCTAAAACAAAACAGATGGCAACAAGTTTTAACATGTCAAACTTTGCCAACAGGTGTGTTCTTCGTATCAGTAATGATCTTAGTATGGAATAATGCTGTACCAATGCTTTGGAGAAGTATCAATCCTTTATGTCATCCAAATATGGTCATGTAATTATTGTTGGGAACTTTTATTTCTAATGATCATAGTATCATACCAAATTTGTACTTATCCAATATAGGGAGGACTTGCTTGGTCAGAACAAGAAGGCAGCTGATGATATGAGCAGAGTTGCTGGTTTGGATAACCAAGGGATTGTTGGCCTTCAGAGGCAAATTATGAAAGGTGACAAATATGTCACTTAATTATTCCATTTTTTGTTTCCCTATAGCAGGATCTTTTGAATAATGGCATTGAAATTTCGGTAAAAGAAAATGATGGAATTGAAATAAAACATGAAAAAAAAAGGTGCACGAGACCCCTGTTTCTTTACAGTACATGCATTTTGTAATTGTAGGCACATATCATTTTATTTCCACAAACCACAGCAATTTGCATGGTGACTAACTGTTTGGCATATTTTACAATTTGCAGAACAAGATGAAGGTCTTGAGAAGCTGGAAGAGACAGTCCTGAGTACAAAACATATCGCTTTAGCAGTCAATGAAGAACTTACCCTGCATACGAGATTGATTGTTAGTACCTGCTATGACAGCTGTATGCATGCGTGTTTCTAAAACTAGATGATAATTGCTTTATATTCACCTATTGCAGGATGACTTGGAAGATCATGTTGATGTTACAAACTCGCGTCTTCAGGTGAGTCTGTTATCCTTCTTCGCTGTTGTTAATAGTAGAAGCTCTATAACTACTGTTTGTCACGAATTGTTTAACACTCACATAAATTAAACATTGAACGAACTTATTTCATCCAGCGTGTGCAAAAGAGGCTTGCAATTCTGAACAAGCGCACCAAAGGTGGCTGCTCATGCATGTGCCTGCTGCTATCTGTCGTCGCAATAGTGATCCTTGCTGTTATCGTGTGGCTTCTTATCAAGTATATGTAAAATGGATCCATGACGTTTGTTCAACGCATCACTTCTGCGCTACTCATCAAAATGTGCAGCCTTTTAAAGATGTACCATGGTTTTCATCTCGGCTTTGTTCTCCTGGGTGGAATGGTTTTATCAGTGTGTGTACGTCATATGAGGCCCTGGCATATATGCCCAACAATATGTCTGAGACTACCACTCACGTGGAATTTGTTGGATTGCAATGAGAAGTATATATATGTTTTTGTGTGTGGAGATGTAACTGCTGTAGCATTGTCAATCCTTGGCATGTGCATTCAGAAAGTGTGTGCGTTCAGATAGGATTTCATTTTTCTGTGATCGGTTGCTGTCGATATGTACAAGCTCAATGTCAGCCACTCGCACAAAATATGTGAAAAATTATAGATATGGCGATGGTTTGGGATTTTGCTTATTTGACAGGAATACTCTCTTCTGCAGCATGTAGATTCCTTGCTTACGCTCATTGATTCCTCCGTAATTTTGACATTCTAGCCCATCCATAAAACTTATTTCAAAAATAGGCTGTGATAAAAACTATATAAAAAAATATCTTTACACTGTGGGCTAACATCTCACCAGTAGGGATGAAAACGGTACGGAAACGGACGGAAACCATCTTTATCGTTTTCGTTTTCATAATTCTTTCGGAATCGGAAACCCCGGATACGAAAACGGAATCGAATATTATCGGAACCGAAAACGGAGCGAAAACGAACCGGCGTGAATACGGTAATAAAAATTTATCAGAATACAAAAACCCCTCAAACTGATAAATCCAATTCTCAAGTCTCAACGGTCGACAATTCATCATAAAACACAATCATATAAGTCCAATTGTTAAGTCTCAATAGTACATCACAAAACACAATCTATAGAATAAATTATCTATATTTAAGAGAGTAATGTTGTTGATAAATCCTAATGCATGAAAAAAATATTCTTATGTAACTTCAGATTTGCATAACAAATATTTTTTAAAAAATAGCAGCCAAACACCGTGATATTCACTATTTAGTGCTTAAAAAAATAATCCAGGATATTTCAATCACAAAATTTCTGAAAATTCCGAGAAAATTTTCAGAAAGTTTCCAACCGATTCAAAGTTCCGATGGAAACTGCCCTTATCATTTTTGATTCCGTTTCCGAGAAAATATTTCTGAATTTGTTCCGTTTCCGAAAAATTCTAACCGACAGATTCGTTTTCGAAAATAGGTCCGGCATCTGAAAAGTTTCATACCCTTTTTCACCCCTACTCAGCGCTAAGGCCTATGGCACCAAGACTTGTGATATACAATTTAAATAAAAGATGAACATGGTTGGTGGTGGCTGCCTTCATACTAGTGATCTGTGTTCAAATCAATCCTTGCCGTGCCACATTTTCAGTTCTTTTTTAATCCTGCCGTGACTTTTTCTCTAGCGGAAAAGACACAAACTTTTCAACTGAACCGCTTCAATATGTTGTACATGGTAATGCTCATCTATATTTTTTATAGCTTAATTTGGTCAGCGCCAGACCCTGCTACGCTGAGGCCCAAATCTTAGCGATGTTGGGCGTCAGCACCAAGGTCTATGGCACTAAGATTTGGTTATAGTTTTCGTCCGGTCTACTTATAGAATAAGTTTTTTGTGAAAGGGCTAAAATGTTAAAGTTTCGCTTGATTCCTGGAGTCACGCTCTACACTTACGTTGGAACTTGGCAGCCATTTTGCAAGGAAGCTCTAAGTTGCCGTATGAATAATAATTCCTCGTTTCATCGCAGCACATTACAGTGAGAAAATCTGAAGCTGATCTGTATTTCAAGAGTTTCTCTTTGTCACTTGCACGCCTCCTTTTTCATGATCGCTAAGAAAACAAGTAAAAGGTTTATCTAAATTTGTTCCTGAAAGTCAAACTCAAAATTCAATCACTTTATATTATAATCCAAGGCAGGGCCAAGCATAGCATAAACTTAGCTTTTGAATTTTGATAGTCTCATTCAATAATCTACGGTCATATAATTGGTAACTGCAGAAACTAGGGAAGTAGTTTTCAAGACACATAAAGAAAGTGGCATTTTTTTTTTTGAATCTAGAGAGCTTGTATTAACGATGAAAATAGGAATTATACATTCCTGGTCTAACAAATCAAGAATCACTGCATGAGCACATAATCTCTACTCGGTGCAGGACCTCGACCTCATTGTTAGCTGAGCAAGAACACGAGTCATACTATTAGCTTTCCTCTTTGTTTTTGTGTGCACCTCGACATTTTGGAGACATTAATTTCATCACACCCTTTGTTTCAGAAATTGTTCCTGCCCAACCAAACCGATACGGTAGCTTTTTCACAAGGGCTGTTGCGACATCAACATTATCAGTCTCCAAAATTATCGGCATATGCACCCAATCAATTACCGCATACAAAGCCTTCTAAACAGACTAGAAAATCTCTTCTATACCCCAAAATTTTTAGCTAATTCTTTCTATGTCTCTGAATTTTGCTTACTTCTTTGTATACCCCAAAATTTGATTTTGATCTCTTCCATACCCCTCCCGTCAGTTGACTGTCTAATTTCTATAAAAATAACCATTTTACCCTTTGGATGAATATAGAAATTCATGAATCACATTATTAAAAATGTAAAAGTTTGCCACATAAGACTATTATAGTTATGAGTTTGTTATGCGATACATTATTTATCACAATTTATTTTTAGATAAATAAATAAATAATAAGTATTTATTTTTTAAAACAAAGTCATAAAAATGAGGAGCATTCATACAAAGATAGGACTACCAATGCTCACAATGATTTTTTTATGAATGCTCCCAATCAAAAATATCCATCGTCCTATTAAAATTTCAAATAAAAATTTAAATTTATTACATTTGTTTTATTTTCAAATTTATGTCAAAATTTTATGCACTAATTATTTAGTCTCATTAGTTTCATAAAATGCACATACTGTACACTAAAACAAAATTTTCAATCGTTTTTCAAGTTTATATTCAAATCTAAAGCATCAAGGACAAAAAAGATATTTGCAACCAAACGTAATAGTAAAATGAAGGAAAATGTAATGGTAGGAGCATGGAAAGGATCAAGTTGAAATTTTAGAAGTATAGAAGGGATCGGGTAAATTTTAAGGGTATGAAAAGGATTGAGTGAGGTTTTAGGGGTACAGATGGAATTTACTCCAAAAACTTCAGCCTGAACTGCCTCACCGCAATGATGAAGTGCTTTGTGAGCCACAAACAGAACTAAGCCTCTATAATCCCTCACTATTATCCCAGTACTCGCTTCCCCTGCCTCTTCTCTAAACCCTACATCAGCGTTCACCTTTGCAGAGTCTATAGGTGGAGCTTGCCATTTTTCCTTCTCTTTGCCGCAGAGTGGGGAGTGGTAGCGGGCAGCAGCGAGCGGCCGGAGCAGGTGGGCTAGCGCGCGGTGGCTGAGTGCGCGGCGGCTGAGTGGTTATGGCCAAGCGCGCTGTGGCCGACAGAGCGGACCGGCGGCCGCGGCGGTGGCTGAGCGCACCTGCAGAGCTAAAGCCATACGCGTGGGACCGGCTCCAGTGCCGACTTAGAGATGGTAGGCGCTCTGTGGCCACGGCCACGGCAATTGCTGCTGTGGCGGCCACCATGGCCTCTCGGTCTTGTCGGTAGGTGGAATGGAGAAGGCGGCTAACGAGAGATGAGGGAGGAGAGTGGCAGCCGGCGACCGGCGTGGCGATGGTGGGAGGCACGTTGAAGAGGACGAGCCCACCCCACCACGGATGAATTGTCAATTTGTCATGCGTCCGACGACGGATTGGCTTGACGAGCTCCTCTCGCCGGTGGTCCCTAACAAGGCGCCCAGCGCCGCCAACACCGCCTCCTCACCGCCCCTAATCGGTGTCACCTCCTCGCCGGCCCAAGCCGTCGACCGTCGTCGGCTCGTCGTTGGCGTAGGCCCCAGACGACGCCCCCACACCACCTCGTAGCCTCGGCTGCAACGGCTACTACCACCATCACGTCGTCGAGGGAGGAGAGATTAAGAGCAGAGGAGAGAGAGGGGGAGGAGGGAGAGAGAGCAGGGGAAGAGAGAAGGTGGAGACTGAGTATGATAGGTGGGGCCATTTTCGTTTTTGCCACATCAACTCGAGTAGACCGGGTCAAATTTCCACGTCAGCAAAACCAGGTGCCTATATTGCTATAGGACGTAAAATGGATGGTCTTGTATAATTTAGGGGTGAAGATTTATGGTATTAAGTATAAGGGATGTCAAACAAACTCGTTGTAAAGTTGAGGTATGGCAGGTGAACTTATTCCGATGTAGGTAAGCCCAAGGAGCTAACGTAGCCAACGAGCCCAAGTGACCTAGTGAAGTAGCTAAGCCCATCACGAAAATAAAGGCAAAAAAGCTCATTAGATTAGTCCCGTACTTGTCTGAACCCTAGATCGAATCGATCGATTCCATTCTCTTATCGTTTTCCTCCCGAGCCGCTTCGTGTTCTCATCCCCTCTCACCGAGCCGAGGAGAGCCGAGCCAGCTCGTTATCCTAACAAGCCGAGCCGAGCCGAGCCGAGCTGGCTTTTTGGGTCCCAGAAGCCCAAAAGCCCAAAATTCTGATCCGCCGCCGGCATCCCTGCTCCGCCCCACCACCACCACCACCTCGCGCGGCGGCGATGCTTCCGGCGGCGCTGAGGCCTCTCCGCCGCATCCCCCTCGCGCGCCTCCGGAGCCGCCTCCTCTCCTCCTCCGCCTCCGGAGAGGGCGGCCCTCCCGCCGTTGCCTCCACCGACGAAGCGGTGAGGGCGGCGAAGCTGAGGGAGGAGGCGTACAAGCAGGTGGCTAACCTCGACTGGTCCAGCAACGCCGACTTCTGGAAGGCCGTCGATATTGTCAAAACCTTGCCACCCAAGCGCAAGGAATTCGGGTCAGCACCCCCTCCCATCTTCTCCTACATTACATTTTATTTTGGCTTTAGAACTGGCGGTCAATTTGGAGAATGGAGCTGGTTGTTATTTGGGGCAATGGTTGAGAGCTGATGCCAATAGCCCGTTCTGTTGAAAAGCTTTCACCTATGATTTGCTATTCGTGATGCAAATGTTTAAAATGAATACAAGTGCGTATTGTTACTTCACACTGAATGCTAGTATCATTACTAAAAGATGTCTATTTTGTATCTGAACAGTCGTGGCGAGTTTCAAATCGATTTTTTGAGGTTTAGATAACGCTGTGTGGTCCATAAATATTTTCGAAACCCAAATTCCTTGTCCTAACACTCATAGTGAATAGTGGGAATTAATCATGCGGTCATCCTTTGTGCAAGGTTATCACTATTTTGTTCACATTCAGTTGTAACCAGGAAACATGACAAATTTGAAAAAACGAAACTCGTTCAATATCCTGCTGACCCCGAACTTTATGACCTTGTAGTCCCTGGTAAGTTTGTAAAGAGATCCAAGAACATGGCAACCAGATTCAATTTAACACGAACACTAATTCAGAGAAAGCACACTATCTACTGTATTCTCATGACACTCCTCGTAAACATGTCTATGAAACTTGGAATGCCTTCCAAAATTCAAGATCATGTGATGTGTAATATATACATGTGTTACATGTTTTGGAGATGAATTTCATTACGGACATATCCTATGGCAGGATTCGTTGATTGTACATTTCCTTTTGAGTTTTAGGCTGGACTTCCACCTGGTGCAACTCTTCTTTGTGTGCCTGCCTTCTCTAGGTTTGTTTTGTTATAAAAATCCTCACTTTATGGCCTTGTTATTTGGAATGTACAATGTGAAATTTCAGTTCTTTTGTGACAATATTTCGTTTGTTTTCTTGTACAGCCGTTTATTTGGTTGCTCAGTATGCACGGAGTGAGATCAAAAGGATGGAGGCAGTAATAAACTATGCTTCTCTCATGCACCATTTCCTTTTGAGTAGATCCCAATCAGAACAATTTGACTCTTAAACATCAAATGCACAGAATTCTCAGTTTCAACTATCTTGTTAGTAAATACTAAAACATTGTGTTTCAACTTATTTTCGTAAATGATTATGCTACTCATCTGATGTATTTTATTTTTATATGCTATAACTGTGTTTGGTGAAAAAAGATAGCTTGTGTAAGATTTAGTTCTTGCTAAAATGATCTCAGGCAAAATCATTAAAACTGAGTCCTTGGGTTGGTGGTTGTTCCAATATCAGTTTTGATCAAGCTCTGTTGTAGGGTTGTCACCTAAATGCATCAACGCTGGAACTTGTCAGGGCATCTTAAATGAGTAGTTGGTTCATTTTAGGTGTTCAAAATATTTGCATGATTACATTTAGCAACCAATTGATAGCAGCTTGCCTCGTACATGGTGTAGAGAGAATGATAAGTATGTGCCGTCAGGTTATCACTGTCACTTTTTTTCAGTTATATATGATTCTGAACATTTAATTGCGAAGCTGCAAGTGTAGGCTGTATTTTGGACTATGTTTCCTTGAAGTGTCAAGTGTCAACATAGTTTTTTTTATCCATTCCAGTTGCTTTTTTCTTCCACTGCTATAATAGTATGTGCAACAATGCATTTGTCTCAAGATTGTTAGCATTTCTTATTACTGATAATACATGGTTTGGGGATAGTGATTGTTGATAAATTGAACACACTTGAGGTTGCCTGTTTGCTTTAGACTTGCATTGTGTCGAATATTCAAATACTTCATATGATGTCGGCAACAATATTACTCCCTCTAGTCTGAACATGACTTTTTGGATATTGACATGGTCTTACAAAAAAAAAAAACAATTTGGACCATAACTCCTGTTGCAGTGTCTACCTTTAACTCTTTATGAAACCTGATAATATGTTTGACAGCATGTGTGTCCAAACTAATATGTATTTTTGGTCACAGTGAGTATAGCCCGAGACATTAGTGTCCATGTGTAGTTCGCAAGAAAATTCTGTTTTCAGATGGTCCAATTCGCCGTATGTTATTTTGTACTCATGATATTCTTATGATAAGGCATGTTCATTAAGCATATGATGATTGATTAATATGATGCTTGCTTCAGGAAGCAGAAGAGAAAAAGAAAAAGGATGAGGAACTGGAGAAAGAAAAACAGCTTGAAGCAGATTCTGTTAAGGATGAGACTGATTCAAAGCTGTCAGCAGTTTTAGTCCGGTTAGATACACTGGAGGGAGTTGTTAATGAGATTGTGGATGACAAAAGGAAAGGTTCCGCCCCTGGTTTTTCCAACAAGGAGGAAGCCACAAAGAAAGGTGAGAGACAAAGCAATTCCACTGATGGCCAGGTAGTGCCAGTCAAGAGTAAGGACATCATCAATGGTGCTACAAACGCTTCACCCAATTCTACGCAACAGAGCCCTACAGGGAATGGAGACAAGGCATCTTCTGACCCCAAGGGTTGATGAATCTCGCTGGTTTTTTACGCTTGGAGTGATACTTGGAATGTGCTGTATGCATCAGTTGAGTTTTTTGTTGATCAAGCATGAGCATCGGTTCCATAGAGTAGATGCAGTCATAGGTTCAGTTGCATCGCACCATTTTCCAACAGTGTGGGACTCTCTCCGGGAATGGTTGACTCCCTACGGTAGAGTAGATGCAGTCCATAGAGCCTTGCAGTCTTATGGTCAGTTTTGCAGGAGAAAAGACGCCAATGGTGGATGAACATCAGGGCTCCCTGCTCAACTTTGGGGACTTGAAACCCCAAATTTTGTGTCTAGACATTGTTGATAGCAGTTCTATTCCACCTTACAAAAACTTGGCACATTGAGGCTTGAGGTCTGTTGATGTTGGATGTACTAACTCAGGATTCGGTTTATAAATTACTGAGAAGGGCTAACTTCCAGAAATAATGAAAGGTGCTTGTTCTGGGTACATGTGAATTGTGATACGTGACACTTTCACTTTCCTGAGCTGGTCTATTTGACAAGTGTATCTCCGCTTTGTAAGTAAACACTAACCCATTTGAAGGTTCCAATTTCAAGAATGCAGATATTGTTTCATTCTTTAATGCCAGCAGGCAGCAGCTTCAACCATTAAATCGCCTACTAATTCAGTTTGCAACGGTTCGTAAGGAACGTTTCATACTGATGAAGTGTCTCGAGCAAATAGCAAATGTTGTGCTAGCTGGGTGATTGTGAGACTTGGGGGTAGTTTGCCATTAGTTAAAAAAAAAAACAGTCAGTGGCAAATAGTTTCATCTTTTCACTTATTTGTGGGTAAAACTTTTGTATATATATTCTTAATGATTTAAAAATAAATGCTATAAAATAAACTACAATGATAAAATCACAAAAGCAACTTCAAAATTAAAATTTAAAGTTTGGCTTATAAACATAAGGGAAACGATGGAGCTTAAAAGTCGTACCATTTCGCAGGCGATTAGTCCCTCCCCTCCGCATTTCCGCCTTTTGAATGGTTCTGTCATTTTAATGTGCTAAGACTCTATTTAGAATGGACTAAAACTTTTAAGTCCTATCACATGAGACGAATCTATTGAGCCTAATTAATCCATGATTAGCCTATGTGATGCTACAGTAAACATTCTCTAATTATAGATTAATTAGACTTAAAAAATTTATCTCCCAAATTAGCTTTCATTTATATAATTAGTTTTGTAAGTAGTCTATATTTAATACTTTAAATTAGTGTCTAAATACAGAGACTAAAGTTAAGTCCCTAGATCCAAACACCACCTAAGAAAAGAAAAAAGGTCTATGTAAAATTGCTAGCGTTTAGGGTCTCAAATTGATAACTTTTTCGGTGGTTAAGCAGCAGCAGAAAGTGTTACACGGTACTTGTCACCTTTATGCCTCCTTATGACCTTACAACATCTCCAACAGCCTCCTTATCCCATTCTCCAAGTTAAACTATAGCAATTTTAGCTCAAATTCGCACTCCAATAGCCTGGCCAACCGGATGGCCAAGCCATCCGACTGGCCAAAGTAGCGCTCGCGCTGGCCAAATTTGGCCAGCCAAACAGCCTAGCCAATCATGGGCCCCACCTCTATTCTCTCTCCCTCTCGTAGCTTCTCTCCTCCCAAATCCAACGCCGCCCGTAGCATACTCTCCGCCAGCGCCGCCCCTCCGCCGGCGAAGAGAGCTCCCTCCCTGCCTGCCGCGCCATCCGCCCAGTGCCGACGTCGTCGTCCTCCCGGCTCCGCCGTCATCATCGTTGTCCTCACGGCGCTGCCATCGTCGTCCTCACAGCACCACCGTCGTTGTACTGCCAGTGTTGGCCGCCCTAGTGCCCCATCGTGGCCTTCTCTCAACGTCGCCTCGAGCCCGCCTTGCGTGCGCACGGATTTGCCCAGAGCGGCACCAACGGGCGGAGCCCGAGCGGCGGCGGCGGCGGTGAATGGGGACGCAGCCCGAGCGATGGTGGCGGCGGGCGGATGGGGATGGGGCGGCGCCGGCGGATGGGATAGGGAAGGGGGGTTTGGAGAGAAGGGGAGAAAGATGAGGGAGAAGAAGGAGGTGTAGAGACTGACATGTGGGTCTAATTGTCATAGACTCAGAATAGAGAGGACGAATGGAGAGGCAGTTAGAGTAAAAGACAGTTTGACTTGCCAAATTAAATGGAGAGTTGGCCAAATAAATATTTGGAGAGTCAAATTTGGAGAAACTGTTAGAGATGCTCAGCCTCTCCAAATCAAACTCTCCAAACATTTATATAGCCAACTCTCCATCTGATTTGGCTAGTCAAACTAGTTACTCACTCCAACAACATCTCCATTTACACTCTCTATAATAAGTCTATGACACTTGGGGTCCACATGTCAGCCTCTCATATCTATTATTCTTCCTCTTTCTCCCCTTCTTTTCCTCGACTCCCACTGGAGCCATCCTTTGCTACGACAACGATGTCCACGCGACAGCGGATGGCGAGGGGAGGCATAAATTTTACAATATTTTTTTAAAAAGTAGTTTATTTCACATAAAAAAATCTATAAAATATTTATATTCCAAATTCAGGTGCGAGTTATTTGGAATCCATAGGGCAACCATACGAGATCGGTGATGAAATGGCAGGTGCAGTCGTTGAGGAAGACGATAGGACATAGGTTCAATTTGCTGTTATGTGCTTTTTTTTTTTGAAGCTATGGTGAAATGCCAATAATTATTTTTGAATATTAGCAATATTCATCTCACGTCTGCAATCATTTTTTTTTCGTCTTGTAGAGCATCTCCCAAGGCAAAATCGATTTAAATAAATAAAAAAAACGAGCCATGTACATTGCGCCAGTCGATTTGTGATTATCTGAAACAAAATAATCGAACTCTAATTTGGAGTCGACTCAGAGAGTAAAAAAATATTTATTGTGCATGCATGTATGGAGAGCAGACATACTGATTGGTGGAATCCTTTTACGTAGGTACCACAAATGGATTTTCACTTCAGCCATTGAAAGAAATTTACTTAAATCGTAAAAGCAACTTAGCTTTGCAATAGAATAGAAGTAACTAACTATAGCATTGGAAGTAGTTATATAATGGATGAGGACTATGTGAAATAAATTCATATGTAAAATGGAAAGAAAAATTGCAAGTAAATACAACTACTTCTAATACCTTTAAGAGTTATTTATATTTTATTTTTTAAGTTACTTCCCTTCTGGAGTGTATTTACTTCTAATATTACGAAGAGTTACTTCTATTTTTTTTTTTAAAAAAGTTACTTTTCTCCAGTAGCGTTGTTACTTTTAATATCGTGAAAAAAGTTAATTTTTATATGATGCAAGATTTTATTTTTCAAAAAACATTATAGTGATTACTTTAAATAAATAATATATGTATTTACTTGAAAATCTTCTCTACACTTTACTTGTGAATTTACTCCACACAGTTTCTTATTTTATCTCACTCATAATATAATTACTTATAATGCTATAAAGAGTTACTAATATTGCATAGCTAAGTTACTTCTACAATTTAAATAAATTACTTTTAGATTAATAAAATGTTTAAATATATTCAACGTTGAACTTGTTTTGTAACATATTTTTGAGTGTGGTACAATGGTGCAAATAAATCTTAAAAATAATATACAGTTTAAAAGATAAAAAAATATACGTTAGTGATCAATTTATATATATAAGTGTTTGTTGTTGCTATTTTTAGATGGTAAAAAGGGATTTATACGTCATGTGAGATAAAGTGGTCGTGACCGTGCACTACGTAGCCGTGTCCTTTTTAATGTGCTCTAAATATGTTTAGACCCTCCATTGGTGTTTATAGTCCAATAGGCGATATAATCTATATTCCCTTGTTACAGGTAAGAACTCATAATAAGGCAAGAACAGACGTGGAACTAAGGCAAGTAATTAGTAGTAAATTGATCTCACGGAAATGTTCTATTGATTCGAAATATCACGTTGCAACACTACTACAGATCCGGGCTTCAGTGACGGGTCATCTGTGACGGGCCAACGCAACTCGTCAAAGATGAGTCATCTCTGACGGGCCAAAAAAATATCCTCTTTAATATATGGCTACCAGGGAGGACCCGTCACAGATGTGAAGTCATCTGTGATGGCTTGCACTTGTAACCCGTCACAGATCGTCTGTGACGGGTCACAACCATGGCTCGTCACAAATGACATGTCATCTGTGACAGGTGTAGTATTATGAACCATCACAAAAGAGACCACTCATCTCTGACGGGTCTTTAACTAACACACGTCACAGATAACGTTATCTCTGACGGGTGGTAGTTATGACCCGTCAGTGATGAGTGAAAATTCAAATTTTTAAATTTTGCAAAAAACCTCGGATTGAAACATGTCCTATATAAAAGTTGTAGCTCTCAATGATATCCACAACTTTATAACTAACAACATTTCTATTAGAGATCGTTTACATCCCCGAATATGCATTACAAGTGAGTCAGATCTACTTTTAAAAACAAAATTTTGAGTTTTTTTTCAAATGACATGGATGGATACATGCCCCGTATCAAAGTCATAGAACTCAACCAGATCTACAACATTATAATTGAAAATATTTTCATTTCACAAAATTTACATGTTATAAAGTGAGATATATTTTGAAAAATGAAATTTTGAATTCTTCAAACAAACATCAGATGAAGATATTTTCTATGTAAAAGTTATAAAACACGATGAGATCTATAACTATTTAGTTGATAATATTTTCATTTGAAGTCATTTAGGGTGTTAAATATATGTTAAAT